AGAAACAGTAGAAACGGTGTTGTTCTGTATATCAGCAGCAGAGGGTGCTGGAGCAGTGGGGAAGAAAGCAGAAACAAAAATCTTCCAAGCTACAGCCTATAATTTTTAGCACATGTGCAGTCTTTTCTGATTTTAATGTATCTAACACGTTATATTTACTTCCTATTTTGGGCACGTTATTCAAATATCTCTAACTCTTAGGATACATAAGAATATTCTGTGTGCTGTCAGGCTTATCCTTACTAACTTATTTTGACTGTACGAGTAAGCTTGTCACGCATGGATGTTCACGACTAATTATTATTCATACAAATTGAAGTGCGCTGTTAGGTCAGATAATTGTTTGCTAGGTGCAGTGATTCTTATTGTGTTTTACAGAAGATATCTTTTGAATTGAAAGGAAATTGATCTTTAAGCACTTTTTTTAAAAGCCCATAGGTCTAGGATTAAAGGAACAAATTCCAAGTAAAATAATTATGGAACAAAGAACTAATTTTGTTTCTTTTAATTCACTTAGGGTGATAAATCTGTCAGGGTTATGCGCTCATTGTTGGCAGCCCAGCAGACGTTTGTAGATCGGCTGGTTCATCTAATGAAAGCAGTACAGCGTGAAAGTGGGAATCGTAAGAAAAAGGTAAGCAAGAGATTAGAAAACTTATCTCTGGCTAGAATTTGAGGACAGGAATACTAACTTTTCACTAAAAATTTTTGGCACTGAGATATTGCTAAATGTCCATCTCTCCTCTATTAATTTTAGCTGGTATTAAACTTAGGAGAGGATTAGATAGCTTGAAGTGCCTACTACGTGTTCTGAAAGTTGGTACAAGAACAGGGAGATGAGGCCCTCTGTCTACTGATACCATTGAGAGTAAAAGCACATAGAGATTGGCACTTTAATATACTGTATTTGGTGAGCCTGCGACTGAGGGACAGCATGAGCTGCCTAATCCACGTAGATATCTGTCTGACTCATCTGCACAGTGCTATCTCTTGCGCAAACTAAAGGCCAGGTAAAAGAGATAAATGTTATAGGGTTTGGGCTTAGGAGAAACACCTTAGGACGTTTTGGCAAATGGAAGATATAGAAAACGTGGAAGAGGTGATGATATGTCAATGAGATGTTATAGGGGATGTGGGAAGTGAGCAGAGGTTATTGTGGTGTGAGAATTATGCAAGAATAGATAAATTCCATGAAACAAGGTTTCATTTGTTCAAGAGTCGCAAAACTATTCTTTTATGGGACAGGGTGGGTGTTGTTGAAAGGTATCTGTTGCATCTCAAAGAATAAGCTTTCCATCCTAGATGTGTTTTTAAGATGCTTTGTCCCGACCTAAGATATTTTAAGAGTGTACTTGACAAACGCTGGTATAAGGAGAAAGCAGAGATTTCTATTCAGGCGTTTTCTTTTTCTCTGTACAACACATAGCAGTATTTTTTAAACATTGCTTTTCAATGTAATATCAATTTCAATCACCTTCATCTTTAAATCTGTGAGGTACATTTTTGCAGGGAAATAGAACACTTGTGCTTTGTATAAGGCTTATGAATTTTTATGAATGTTATGCATAAAGGTGTAATCACTAAAAGAAAATGATCATATTCTTAGAGGATTTTTTTTAAATCCGTAAGAATGTATTTCCTGCTTGTAGCATTCTGTCAGATGCACTTTTATAATTGCCAAGACGTTTTTGTGAAACTAAGAAGCACGGGGCTTTGGTTTTGGATTAAAATCAAGCTAGTAGCAATTAACCATTGTTAAGTACTCCCGGTAGAATTGGGCTACCTTGCTGTGTCTCTGTGTTTATACTTGCTTTATTCAGTAGGAGAAAAGACTCGACACTTTTGCCTGTGTGACCTTTATGTAGGACACCATGTGTAAAGTACCAGGAAAATTGCCTGGAATTGAACTTCTGATATTGAATTTCTGGTATCTACGGATATAGGAATGTAGAGCAAGCTCTGAAATCAGATCTATGCAAACTATTGGCAATGTGATTCATTGGTGACAGAGAATCTCCTTGAATTCAGGGATTCACAGGATCTGACCTGATGACTTGAAACAAGTTTCTAAAATAGAGCTAGTATTGATACTGGTATAGAAAATAAACCATCTTGCTACTCTTGCAAGCAATCTAAAAATAAATTTTTGCAAGACTATTGTGTCTCACACTTACAGAATGGCTCAACCAGATTTAGACTGGATGGAGTCTAAAGGATAGAATAATTTGAATAAGCAAGGATAAGTCCTTGCTTATTCAAATTATTGCAAATGGAGAATTTTTATTTTGTTGGACTTCAAGGGTGAGACCTTATGGTTCTTCGGAAGAGTAAAGAGCAGAATAAATGGAATATTTCTTAATTACTCATATATATTCTTTGTTAAAATACTTTTTAAATTTTTCATATGTACTTTCTGTTCTTTTAAAAAACAAGTTCGTGTTTTGTTTTGTTTTTTATTTCAGAATGAGAGGCTACAGGCATTGTTAGCAGATAATGAAAAGATGAACTTAGCAGATATGGAACTCATTCCACTTCCACTGGAACCTCAGGTGAAAATTAAAGGGATAATCCCTGAAAAAGCCACACTCTTCAAGGTAAATAAGATCTTCTGAATAGTTGAAATATAACCCAATCTCATGAGCACCAAGCTTAGAAGCAGCAGCTGGCAGATTTCAAGCTGAAGGCGGACATGGTGGAGGCAAAATCTAACTGAAAACTGCCCTTATAGGGGTTAAATAGCCCATCAGAAAGACTGCTCTTTTTCTTTTGTGAATTTCTATGTTTTCCAGTTAAAGTGCAATTTCAAAGCAGTGTTTTCGGCTTTTGTAAGGTCGATGAAGTGTATAGATTGTCTGTATTCTGCTTTTGAAAAGATAAGTTTTTATGTGCAAATGTTTATTAGCAAAGTTGGTTCCCAAGGTGGAGACTTTTTGTTTTTTGAGAGAAGTGACTTGGTCAGTGCCAATATATGAAATTATTGAGGTAGGTAATTGATCCCCTTTGATCTATTTTATACAGCAAAACTGCAAACAATTAAATTAACTTTCCCAAGCAACAATGTGGAAAGACATTACGTCCCCCTCTGGCAGGCTGGCGCCGAGCCCAACCCTGCCTACGACAACATCCTGCGCCACCTTGACAGTGTCCGGTACGCAGGTGAGGCGCCGCGTGAGCCAGTGGGCAGTGCTGGGGAGACAGCAGCTGCACAAGCAAGTGGGTAGCACCTGGAAGACAGCAGCCATGTGAGAAAGTGGATAGTTCTCAGGAGACAGCAGCTGCACGAATGAGTGGGTAGTGCCGGGGAGATAGCAGCTGCATGAACAAGTTGGTAGTGCTGGGGAGACAGCAGCTGAGCGAGCAAGTGGATAGCGCTCGGGAGACAGCAGCTGTGTGAGCAAGTGGATAGCGCTCGGGAGACAGCAGCTGCGCAAGTCAGTGGGTAGCACTGGGGAGAGAGCAGCTGCAAGCAAGTGGGTAGCACCAAGGAGATAGCAGCTACACAAGTGAGTGGGCAGCACTGAGTAGCAGTGAGCAGCCAAAACGGCTTCGTTAGGGAGG